GCAGAGAAGCAGCGCATTCAGTTGGCCGCACCGCAGCCGACTCTTCAATAAATGAGTACAAAACAGCGTTTCCTAGCACCTGTCGCTTACTGATTGTTTGGAATTATAAATATAAGCGTAGTTCTTATCACATGCACTTTTTTGTTTGTTGTTTTTTTTAGTTACTCAGATGCAGGCAGTGCGCTGCATGAGACAAAAGTACTATAGCCAAAACAACCGCACATCCACTCTTTACTGTATCAGACAGTGTCACGATTATAAATGAGAGTGACTCCTGGTTAACATGTATTAAAAGGGGCCGTGTTTAGTCACTATTTAGTGTGGTATTTTTTGACAATATTCACTCATCATGACAGTAAAACAGGGCATTCTAAGTCAATATACTGCAGTATTTCCTCTCTCAATCAGTAGAAAATATGGTTAACACCCGGTCATGCATGAAAAAAAAAATACCGTCATGTACCATGAAACCGTTATAATTTTGAAAAATACCGTGATATAAATTTTTGGTCACACTGCCCAGCACTAATATACACACACATTGAGCATATATGAATCTGATGCATTTAGTTTTCCTTCCACTGTAAACTAAATAATCAATCAATAAAAATAATAATTCAATGCATTAATAAAATCACTAATAATTATTCCAAAATAATTATAAATAAGTATAACAATATTAAAATAAAATTAAAAATGCATGTACTCTTCTAATCTTTCTTAATTAGGCCAAGTAAACATTGCTTCAAGTTTTTCCAAGTTATGAATTCTTGACACTGCTTTAGAAAGACTTTGATTTTTATATCAGTTTAATTCATTAACAACTACTTGTTAACCTGAGAAGACAAAAGGGAAAGAAAACACATCAAAACTGGTACATTTCTTAAAGAACACAAGCGCCCCCTTGAAGGAGTTCAGAAATGGTGGAGAGATTTTCCTCTCTGGTGGACAAGGGCCAGTCTCTCCACTCCGGCGTCACGGTCCATATGGTTGGCACTGGGTGCGTTGTTTCTGTGCCAAACCTTGTACTAAACTTTGTGCCAGGCCCCTGCAGACCTCGCACACAGGCCGGCACACATGCACACCAATCACACCCAGCGTCTTCAATTATCCCGAATCCTGCTTATTCACTAACAAATGAAAGAAGGATTTCATTCTGCCTTCGTTCAGGAACAGAGACGGCATTCGTACGTGTCTGGAATAAACACCGTCCTGAGTCAAGTTACGCCCAACATCCGGACTCAACTTTAAGAAACTAAAGCCGTCAGAAGAAACTGTGCTGATTTGAAATCAGTTTTTATTGCTTATGTGATTGACACTTTATTTTCAATTTCAATTTGATCATCAACTTTAGTTTACTTAAAGGCATTGTAGGTGATTTGGTTAAAAAAAAAATTGTCATGCTGGTTGAAAATCTCTTCACATCCACTTAATCACAAAGTTAAGTGGTCTAAATGTACTTATGTCTGTGGAAGGCATAGGACCTTAGTATGTATTTGCATACCTCTGTGCACCCTGTTCACGCAGACATGATACGCCTATTGCAGATCGAGCGAGAATGGAAGGCGTTATTATTGTAATATTATGTGCTTTGTACTGTAATGTTTTCTCAGCGGTGAATGAGACACGAGGTAATTTGACAGCACTGAAGCCGTCTCTCATCGCGTCGCTGCTTAGCCTCTGCTTATTTTCAAGGCTTTTAATGTACTCTCATTTAAAAAAAAGAACTTTAATAAAGTTTCTTACTTCTAACAAATACGTTTTTGCTCAAAACTAACCAAAAATAAATAGTTTATAATTTTCGCACAGGAGAGACTTAGCGTTGTTTCAAAACAAAGGGAAATATATATCGTTATCGGTATCAGCTATTGGCCAAAATGATTTGAAAAATATCGGCAAAAATCTAATATCGTGCATCCCTACTTTTAAAGACCTTTTTCAGATTTACAGAAACCTTTTTTTTTTTTCGCATCTTCTAAGTAGGGCTGGGCGATTTTGCAAAAAATTTAAATCTCGATTTTTCCAGTTTGTTTGACCGATTCTCGATTTTTTACGATTTTTAACTAGTCAACTTGAAAATGTAACTACAACATGATTCAAGTTACTTTTTCTTTTTAATAAAGTTTCTTACTTCTAACAAATACGTTTTTGCTCAAAACTAACCAAAAATAAATAGTTTATAATTTTCGCACAGGAGAGACTTAGCGTTGTTTCAAAACAAAGGGAAATATATATCGTTATCGGTATCAGCTATTGGCCAAAATGATTTGAAAAATATCGGCATATCGGCAAAAATCTAATATCGTGCATCCCTACTTTTAAAGACCTTTTTCAGATTTACAGAAACCTTTTTTTTTTTTCGCATCTTCTAAGTAGGGCTGGGCAATTTTGCAAAAAATTTAAATCTCGATTTTTCCAGTATGTTTGACCGATTCTCGATTTTTTACGATTTTTAACTAGTCAACTTGAAAATGTAACTACAACATGATTCAAGTTACTTTTTCTTTATTAACCCTCTAGTTAAAGAAAATTCTAGTTCGAGTGCAGCACACATGAAGTTGTCAACATGATGTAAATGTTAAACAAATCACTTGTTAAATATCTTTGCAGAAAAGATGCAAAAACTACAACTACATATTGTACAAACTTGTCTTATACATATTATGTGTTCACAAATAATACGAGGAAAATTCTTCTAGAAAATCTCAAAATTCAAGGACCTGCTGAAACAGTTGTCATTGAGTCTGTCCTGTGCACTTCAATAACTGTCTGGTTTGGTTCAGCTACAAAATAAGACATCAGAAGACTACAGAGAACGGTTCGGCCTGCTGAAAGGATTATTGGTGCTCCCCTGCCCACCCTTCAAGAACTGTATACATCCAGAGCGAGGAAAAGGGCTCAGAAAATCACTCTGGATCTCTCACATCCAAGTTATTTCCTTTTTGAACTTTTGCCATCTGGCCGCGTATCGACCGAAATTAAGAAATATATTGTGATATCAATTTTGGCCATATCGTCCAGCCCTACATTATGCAATAAAAATGTGCAATAACCTTATATTTATTTGTTACCACCTCCATCCTAGTACACCCCTGCATCTCATTCTATTCTATTCTATTCCATTCTATCATCTATAGCACAACTGTACAATTTATTTATTTTTCGATTTATTTTTCAATATTTGTCTATTTATATTTACGTGTGTATATTTTTTTTTTATTCTCATCTTATTTTTTATTGTCTGTTTTGTTGTTGTCTCTGTGTACTGGAAGCTTATGTCACTAAAACAAATTCCTTGTATGTAAATTCCTTGCATACTTGGCAATAAAGCACTTTCTGATTCTGAAAATGAGGTATAACACCAGTAGACTTCTATTAACTATAAATGTTCTGTAAAAACAATCATGTCACCATGATGCAAACATGAAATATCAGACATACAGTAGTAGTTCTTTACAGGGTTTTTTTTTCGAATTGCACTACTTTTCCATTGTTTTTTCTCTGTAAACATGGATGTGTTTGACTGTTGCGCTCGCGTCTTTTGCAGCATCTCATGCATGAAATGGCATTCTAAAAACACTGCGCTCAAGTTAAAATAAGTTCACTCCCATCTTCTTGCACGTTTTACCTATTCCACTGCCCGCATCACATCTTTGTCAACACAAAAGTGCATTCTGTGTGAATGGCACTTTGCCTATATTTATGGTCCTTCACAGAGCACGTCAAAAGTGAGCGGTTAATCACGTGCGCCGACATGCGGTTGGTTGGATCATTCTTTTCTCTTTACGGTTATCACCGACCATATTGTTAAAGTGTCTAATTCAAACATTTGGTAATATTTCTATTGAAAATCGCGATTCCTCGATTTCTAAAAAATAAAATCGTGGCAAAACAATAAATTCTAATTAATCGATAAAATCGCCCAGCACTACTTCTAATGG